TGTCAAAGTCAACAATCAAGAGAAGACTTCACCAGAGTGAATACAGAGGGTTCACCACAAGATGGAAACCATTGGGGAGCCTCAAAAATAGGAAGGCCAGATTAGAGTTTGCCAAACGACATCTAAAAAAGCCTTCACAGTTCTGGAACAACATCCTATGGACAGATGAGACCAAGATCAACTTGTACCAGAGTGATGGGAAGAGAAGAGTATGGAGAAGGAAAGGAACTGCTCATGATCCTAAGCATACCACCTCATCAGTGAAGCATGGTGGTGGTAGTGTCATGGCGTGGGCATGTATGGCTGCCAATGGAACTGGTTCTCTTGTATTTATTGATGATGTGACCGCTGGCAAAAGCAGCAGGATGAATTCTGAAGTGTTTCGGGCAATATTATCTGCTCATATTCAGCCAAATGCTTCAGAACTCATTGGACGCCGTTTCACAGTGCAGATGGACAATGACCCAAAGCATACTGCAAAAGCAACCAAAGAGTTTTTTTTAAAGGGAAAGAAGTGGAATGTTATGCAATGGCCAAGTCAATCACCTGACCTGAATCCGATTGAGCATGCATTTCACTTGCTGAAGATAAAAACTGAATGGAAAATGCCCCAAGAACAAGCAGGAACTGAAGACAGTTGCAGTAGAGGCCTGGCAGAGCATCACCAGGGATGAAACCCAGCGTCTGGTGATGTCTATGCGTTCCAGACTTCAGGCTGTGATTGACTGCAAAGGATTTGCAAGCAAGTATTAAAATGTGAAAGTTTGATTTATGATTATTATTCTGTCCCATTACTTTTGGTCCCTTAAAAAGTGGGAGGCACATATGCAAACTGTTGTAATTCCTACACCGTTCACCTGATTTGGATGTAAATACCCTAAAATTAAAGCTGACAGTCTGCAGTTAAAGCACATCTTGTTTGTTTCATTTCAAATCCATTGTGGTGGTGTATAGAGCCAAAAATGTTAGAATTGTGTCGATGTCCCAATATTTATGTACCTGACTGTATTTGTACTGGGGATCACTGATCCCAGGACTGAGGGCCAGTTCACACTACATGCATTTGTGTGCTTTTTTTTCTGCATTCAAAACACACAGAAAGCAGGTAATATGATTGTCAATGTCACATCAATGCTTGGCATTCCAGTTGCAGGAAAAAAAAAAAGTAAAACAGGCTGCATATTTCCTGCACAGAGCTATACTGGGACACAGTAAACTGCATCAAAACGCACATTCCTATTTAAGTAGAAATAGGATTGTTCCTATTTAAACAGTTCACTGCAGCAAACTGAGCAGGAAGTGGGAGCTGGTACCTGTCAAAACCAGGTACCCGCTCCTCCCCCCCCCCCCCCCAAAAAAAAAGTACAACTGTAGCAGCATAGGCAGATAAGCAGAGCTACCACTTTTGGGTGGAACTCCGCTTTCAGTGATAGTCCTCTTATGTCTACAGGGCAGGAAGTGAAGGTAATTCTCCCTGAAGAAACACTGATGGCAAAAATAAACCTGATAAGATTCCCTACTCTATCCAAAACAAAATACAATTTGATTTTACTGCACACTGTGAGTTTCATAGGAAGCTGCAGCAAGTCAGATAGAACCTGCCTCATATCCTGGCTGGAGGACATGCAGCATCATCATCAAAGTCTTTCCTCTCAGCTTTACTGTCCTGGGCCTGCCCCCTCCCCTTCATGCTTTGGATTTCAGTTCTTTCCATCATGGAGGTTTAGCAGCACATTGTTGGCATCATCTAGGGCAGTCCACCTGAAAATACAGCCTGCCTAGGAACTCCTCCTCCAGCCTGACATCCACATAGCAAGGCAGTCTTGATATTTGCATAACTCCTCCCAATAGACAGCCCACTATTTGCAGCAGGCCTGAGGGCTCTAGAGAAGAGTCCGGAGATAGTGATGTCTTCAGAAAGCTATGTACAGCACTCTGCCAGCCCCTCTCACCATGATATCACTGGGATAAAAATAAGGTATGTAATGAAAAGGAAAGGATTTTATTATAAAACATCATAAGCAAATTAAACTTCAGCTTTAGCAGCTTCATTCAACACTTTCAAACTGGAGCTGTAGTGTGATTTAAAGAGAAACTATTATCACTTCAACTTTCTTTCTAAAATACGCATGAGACACTAACCAGCTAAACATAGCAATCTCAGTTACATTTTTTAAAACCCCTTTTCCACCAATGTAAATGTTAAAGCTATGTATGTACCTGGTGCGGTATATCTGTTCATTACATATGCAGGCACTGCTTCCTGCACTGCAACACTACACCCTTGTTCATCTGTATTATTACTCCCCTTCCCAGTGTAAGCCTCTGCTCAACCAACCCACTGAAGACAATGCACTCCCTTTGTGGTTGAGATCTCAAAAAGACACACATAGGCTGCCAATACTTATACGGTTAGTTCACCTTTACAAAAAGCACATTATGCTGTTCCATAGGGGCATAGCTTGCTGAACATACTTTCTAATCAGGGCTCCCTTTCCCTTCAGATAATGTAAGCCAAAATCGCATTCAAAAAGTAGCTTTCCTAAAATCCTCTACAGGCTGTGATTGCTCCGTCCCGAGTTATCTTGGGGACAAACCAGTCATTGGGGACCAGCACTAGTGCTGTGGGAGGGAGCACAGTATGTACTCTCTCCTGTCAGAGCTGCTGACCTCATCATAGGCAGCAGGACAGAGTATGAACTGCACATGGGCAGCCAGAAGGAACAAGACATACTCCGTCCCCTGGCACTATGGGGTGCTGGTCCCAACCGTACCTCAGGGCACTACCCCTACAATAACTCAGGGTGGAGCAATCACAGGTTGTAGAAGATTTTAACCACTTGACCTCAGGAAGGTTTAGCTATTTATATATAAATTTTTTTTTTTACACAAATAGAGCTTTCTTTTGGTGGTATTTGATCACCACTGGGTTTTTTTTTTTTGCTATATAAACAAAACAAAAAAAAACACCCTGAAAAATCTGAAAAAAACCCCAACATTTTCTACTTTCTGTTATAAGACCTATCCAGTAACATCAAATGTATTCATAAATTTAGGTCAAAATGATTGCTGCTACATGTCTTTGGTGTGTAAAAAAAAAAAAATCCCAAAATTCCAATAAGTGGAAAGTTATAACATCTATAATCTAAGAGATATATATATTTTTTTTTAAGTGAAAAATGTATCAGTTCTGATGTAGTGATGGATCAGATCTAATTTCTTGAGGCCCCAAAATGCCAAGACAGTACATTTACTCCCCAAATGACCCCCTTTTAGACAGTTTGAGGTATTTAGTAAAAGGCATAGGGAGTTTTTTTAAGTTGTTTTTTCCAATTTTTGTCACAATTTTTTGTAAAATGCAGAAATTAAATTTGTTTTTCTTTTTTTTTTTTACATACTGTCACCAGTGCAGTACAGCATTATCATATGTCTGGTGTGGCAGTGCTCAGGGGTACTGACTGGTGACAGTGTGTTAAAAATAAATGATTCAGTTTTTTAAACTTTTTTTATTTTGAACATACTTTCATCAGAGTAGTTTGGCGTCACCGTAATGACACTAGTATTCTGTGGGGGTGATCAGGTATTTCTTTTTTTTTTTTGTACACTTTGATTGCTGTGACACAGCTGATCACTGTTACAGCAATGTTTTGAACTGTATTGAATGGGTTACATCCATAACAGCTGTGATTTACTACTGTGTGCTGTTATTGAACAACAGCTATTATGACTGAAGTTCATTGACAACAGCTTTGTTAAAATTGCAATCCCCCGACCAATCAAAGCAGCTGGGTACCGGGCTGCGTACCCATAACCCGGGAGAGGCAGAATGGCGTGATTCAGCCTGCCAGTGCCACCCTGCCACAGTAAATGTACTGTGGCAAGGCAGCAAGTGGTTAAGGCGGCTTCTTTTTAATGCAGCATTGCCCTACATTGTTTGAACTGAAAGGGAACCCTGGCTGCAAGGTAGGTTTAGCACACTGTGCATACCCGTATGGGACAGCATAATGCATTTTTTTTTTTTTACGTAAAGGAGACCTAACCCTTTAAGTCCTTTTGAAAATGCCAAGTACTTGTGTGGTATGGATACTTATTCCTGTTCAGCAATGCAAGAGGGTCAGTTTTATAGCCAAGCAACTAGCATTTTCAGAAGGACAGGACAGCAAATATTGTATAAGCGGACTTCAGACTAACATCTCAAGCAAAGAAAAAAAAAAAAAAAAAAGCCCTGTGTATTGAACTAGCAGATCAACTTGCTGTGGGTTACTGCACTTTTCACAGCACTGCACCTTCTTACATAAGCCCCATAACAATGCTGAAAAGCCCAAAATTTATAAAATTTGCATGCTATGAAATAATTCTTCACACTTACTGTATAGGCCAGGGCTGTGGATGAGTCTAACAAACAATGAAAACTACTACAATTTCTTCTGTTCAGAATGGAATGTGAAGCATGTGCATGCTAAGTATCTATTTATTTTCAAAGCTGGTAACTTAAAAAATAATAGTTACTTTTCACTACTAAAAAGGAAGAAATCAGCCTTTTGTGATCAAATATGTACAAGGAAATCATGACAGACAGGATTGAACTGAAAGCAATCAACGGGAAAAATGAAACTGTAAAAAGAATCAGACATATATATAAAAAATTAAATTTAAGAAAATTGCTCACACATTAACCATCCATTCCCAGACAAAACTCAAAAAGAAACACAACGCTGCAGTTTTATTTGCACAGCCAACTGTGTCCTCCTGTTCTCATGCAAAAGGTGCCTTTATTGTTCCCTCGAGGAGTCAGAGGGAAAGGTGGCGCAGTATCCCAGACACCCAATCCCACAATACCAAGAACATCTAACAGAAGGGATGAATGACAACACCACAAGCAGAGAAACAAGGGTCCGCCATTCCACATTTTTGGATGTATGTCTCTCCTTACAGGAAAGACTCGTCTTCAAGGACAATAACTTCTCAGCTTTCATTTGCTCATCAGCTGGGAGTCCATTTTACAGTGTTGGCGGCTTCAAGCCGTACTTTCTGGCGACCTCTGTCTGAGCGTATGCAGCATCACATAGTGAGTAGAGGTGGGCCATTTCCATTTCAGATTTAGCCAGGTTAATGGCTTTATTGAACATTTCAATGGCTTTGTCCAGATTTCCCCTGAAACAGAAAGAGTAGTTTATTAATGTATATGCCGAGTTACTACAGTCATTGACTTCCAAGTAACCCCTAGGGGTGTGTTAGCTTATTTCACAAGCCCATTAAAAAAGCACATTTATATCTAATATCCACTGAGTAAGGCACTAGAAGGAAGGAAAGGAGCCACACAGCAGCCATTTTGGGTGAGCCCATGTTCTAGTTCAGATTTGCGCAGACATTTCTCTAGCTCTGGGGCACTGGGGAAGGAGAAAGGGAAGTTTATATGGCTAAGTACAGGTAGGGTGGGGAGGAATGATGCTTTTAATGATGGGCCACTGCAATAAACAAAAATTCAATGGATCACTGCAATGAGTGTTGAATTTGTAATATAACTATTGCTTTAACTTACCTCTGAACTTCTATTGTCCCCATGGTCTCGTAGGCAAAGTCACATTTGTTATCTATTTCAATGGCTTTGCTGATGAGGTCTAGCCCTTTATCTAGATCTTGCTTCCACTGAAGCTGAAGTAAACTGTATAAAAAAAGAAAATATTTTACCTGACATGATAAAAATAATGAAATGCCATCTTGCAATTGTTAGTTTTGAAAACGCAGAATATACTATTTAGCAAATTTTAGAGCTCCACTAGTCTGAACCAATATTTTAGGTATTATTGCTTTTGTCTAAGGACCGTTCTGTGCAGATATTATTACATTTAAAAAGGTAAACCTGAATACTGGTTATAAAAACACTAGAAGACTACATTTCCTTCAGGCTTTTCCATATTTTTCAGGGACGTCTGCCACCTGGAGGTCCCATCTATGCTTCCTAAATAAGTCTCACTCATTTTGGACACTAAGGAGTTTCCTTTGTTCTGATTGACCCTCCCTAAAGTAACATTATTTTGGCACATGCAGCAGACAGAGTAAGACCCCCATTTGATAGTGGATACAGATGGGCGGAGTTGGGAACTCACATGACATGGTCTTGAATTAGTTGCTAATTCCATCTGCCAAGACATATTCAAAAATTAAATACCGCTTCTGAGCAGAATGAAAATTTACATTTAAAATCAACTTTTTCCTCCACAAATATGAAAGTGATCCACTTATTTCCACATACATTTCCTGATTATCTACCCAAAGGGGATGGTCTTTAGGATATGGTACCTACACTCACCGGCCATTTTATTAGGTCCACCTTGTTAGTGCCAAGAAAATATCCCCCCACCATTACATCACCACCACCAGCCTGAACCGTTGATACAAAGCAGGATGGAACCATGCTTTCGTGTTTACGACAAATTCTGACCCTACCATCTGAATATCACACCAACCAGTCTGCCCATTCTCCTCTGACACCAACAAGGCATTTTCACCAACACAACTGCAGCTCACTGGATATTTTCTATTTTTCGGACCATTCTCTGTAAACCCTAGAGATGGTTGTGAGTGAAAATCCCAATAGGTCAGCAGTTTTTTGAAATACTCAGACCACCCTGTCTGGCACCAAAAACTATGCCATGCTCAAAGTCACTTGCATCCTCTTTCTTCCCCATTCCGATGCTCGGTTTGAACTTCAGCAAGTCATCTTCACCATGTCTACATGCCTAATTGCATTATCAAGAACATGGCTGCGGCTCCCTGCTTACAGAATTAAAGCATCTGGCACTCTTTCAGATGGGTATACTTTTTAGTGCACATCAGGCATGAAAAACAATGTAACTGTTAATTTCCATCAGAAGGATGATCACATTTTTTATAATTAAAATCAATCAGAAGTGACTTACCCTTTGTGAACATATGTTGTGGCATTGTCTGGCTCTAACTCTATGCACTGGTCATACATCTCATCAGCCTTTCCAAACTGCTGCTGATCTGTTAGTGCCTGTAAACAGAACTGCCAGAGGTTAGGAGACTGGCCATCAGTATTCACCGCAAATGTATATTTAGAAGTTAATAAGTGAAGACTGCAGAAATTTATGATGATTAAACTGTCACATTTAAAATATGACTCGTACAGCACAAATACTTGGCAAGAGGTAAAATATTCAAAAGTAACTAAGCACATATAAAGAGAGTGCCAGTATCCAGGGAAACAGTGTTTGATCCACGCTTAGATGAAGATGTCACTCAGATAAAGCCTGACAAGCTCCACCTTCCAAGCATATGTCTGACGAAAGACAAAAAATGCACCAAAAAGCTGTTTAATCTTTGCTACACGAAAGAACTGAGGACTATCCAGATATTACAGGGAATATACACATAATAAGCTATACACTCTATGGCTAAACGTTTGTGGACACCTAACATTCACAAATACAAAAAAAAAAATATATAAAAAGCTTATGTACTTTTTTGAGAGTACAGTGAAGGAGGACTGACCGTATCATTATTAAGAGGGACAACTAGAAAGAATGAGATTTTGTGTGTAGTTAGGTGCAAGTGTGAATGGGGGCTTAAAGGGATTTCCAAAGTCAAAATGTTTTTACCACAATTAATTCTCTGCATTAAGATAAGAAACTCCCCACCTCATCCCTAAACACTTACCTGACTCCTCTCATGATCCAGAGCTGTCCCACCTGCGGCACCACTCTCCCCTCTTCCTGGTCTCACAGAAAAACACAGAAAGCAGCAGGAGCCCACAAATATATTGTGAAATGTTATACGGATTTCTTAGCTGATAGAAGGGGTTACTAGGGAAGGGTTTCTAGCAGGCAATTCATCTAAAAAGGTGAAGGCAACTTTCCTTTGCTGTTCATGGGAGCAGAGCAGACACTGATATGTCACCTACTCTGGGATGCACAGGTCAAAGCATCCTGTCCCCAAATCAGCAATATGGAACAGCATGGCAGGGCTCAGGATTTGCAGAATACCTGCTATTTGGAGGCAATTTTCATGAGGCTTACATGTCTATTTACTATGCTAATCCAGCTACATTTAATCTTATTTCACTGGGATGTACAGTTACACTTATTCTTTTGTTTTGATACAGCAGAAGCAGCAACTAAAGACTGACAAAACTCAACCTATGTTAGTAGATATTACATACTTCCCATGTTAGTAGATATCAGCAGCATGGGACAGTGTGTGCCAAATTCCTAGCATCACAATACAAGCAACACAGTTCTCGCTGTATTCTATTTCTTTATGAATATTGTTTATAAAATAAAATGACAGGTGCACTTTATGTAAAACGCAATTGAAAAAAATAGAAAAAACACAACAAAGATTAAGTGAAAATACAGTATGCTATTGATTAAAAAAGGTGAAGTGAAAATGTGATGTACCTGGGCCATAAATAAAGGGCATAACCTTCTGCACATTTTGGAAACTTCTTAATAACATCTTCAAAACCTTTCATGGCGGATTTGATCTGTAGTGGATTGCTGCCTGTATATGCTTTTCGGTACTAAAGAACAGTAGGGGGGGCAGGGTGGAGAAAGAATAAACTGTGAGGTACAAAAGAAGGCTGAAATACAATGACATGCTAAACGATGGACAATGATTTATAAACACACCATAAAAAAAACCTGTCATGAGTGAAAAGTACAGAAAAAGCCATTTTGAATAGACTGAAGCTACCCAGAAAATTAAACTTTCGGCAGTTTGAGCACCCTAAAACCTAGGGCACTGAATGAGGCCACTCATCAATTTAAGGACTAAGAGGGAGCAGTGGGAAAGGCTATAGTTGCAATTATTGCACATTAAAAACATCTGGGGTGCTCATGTAGGGTACCTGCATTTCATCCACATTGCATACCTTAAATACTCTTTGTGAAACACAGGTTTACTTTAGGACGTAAAGCCCAGATAACAATGACAGCTTATTAGTATATGATGAAACACTATGCAGTTTAGATGCACTACAGCAACAGTGAAAATGCAATGTATTTAAACCACTTGCCGTTCGGACGCTGTATATAAACGGCCGGATGGTGGCAGTCCAGGAGCGGGTTGCCGCTCATAAACGGCACCCGCCATTATGGACAGGGAGTGCGCAGCACCGTGATCCGGTGCCCGCTGTGTCCTCTGTGATCACATGCAGAGTAGTAAGCAAGATGTCACTTCTGACATCATTGCTTACTACGTGTGAAATCTGTGAATGATCACAGAGGTCACATGGCACAAGGCTATTCACAACAGCCTTGTACCATGTGACAACCTGAGAAATGATTGCTTTTACAGCCTTTAAAAAAAAGCAATCAGTGTAAAAAAAAAAAAAAAATCTTCATCACCCCCCACAAGTAGTACAGTGTCACCATGGTGACACTGTACTGCTCGGGGGTGACAGTATGTAGAACCCCCCCCCCCCCCCCATAATAAATAATATAAAAAAAATAAAAATGTAAAAAAAAAAAAAAAAAATTATATTTTTGGTTATAAACTAATTTGTTTTTGTTTTTTAACTAAAAAGATAACTGAATAAATTTTGCCCAAGATTTATGATGAAATATTATTTATTTGCAAAATTTTATAAGAAAAACTTTTTTTCAAAATTTTTGGACTTTTTCATTTATATAGCAAAAAAATAAAAATCCCAGTGGTGAATAAATACCACCAAAATAAAGCTTTATCTGTCTCAAAAAAATGCTAAAAAATTAATATGGTACAGTGTTGCATGACTGCACAATTGTCATTCAAAGTGTGATAGTGCTGAAAGCTGAAAATTGGCCTGGACAGGAAGGGGGTAAAAATGTCCGGACTGGAAGTGGTTAACCATTTGACCTCAGAAAGGTTTCATCCCCTTCATGACCAGGCCATTTTATGATACTTAGCACTGTGCACCTTTAACTGGCAACACTGTACGCTGGTAAATTTATCTAATTTTTTCACACAAAGAGCTTTCTTTTGGTGGTATTTAATCACCACTGTTTTTTTTTTTATTTTTTGTTATATAAAGGAAAACAAAAAAGCCCCAAAAATATATTTTCTAATTTCTGTTATGAAACATATCCAATAAAAAAAAAAAAATCTAATTTCTTCATAAAGGCCAATGTATTCTGTTACATGTTTTTGGTAAAGAAAAAATCCCAATATGCGCTGGAACTTACGCAGCTATAGGTACTATACTGTAATGTTGGTGATCCACGACTTATAGAGAGACTGGCGGGCAATCTGGCATAGACGAAATCTGTGAGGGTCACTAACTGAAAATGACATCGCTAGTGACACGAATACAGTGATCATTGATAATACTGTACACTGACACTGTACTAATGACACTGGCTGGGAAACGGTTAATATCTAGTGGCAATCAAGGGGCTAGCTGTGCCTAAAAATGTGTAATATGTGCTTCTTTTACTTTACTATTTGGCTGTTTTTTTTTCTCTCTGCTTTTTAGGGAGAAGAAACAGCCAGATCACTGTTCCTATGCACACAGAGTTCTGTGTGTTTGTAAACACAACACAATGTGTAACTGGACGAAGCCGATCTGTTCATTTCAAACAAAATCATTGGCTGAAATCTGCTGCCAAACCATTGCTGTGTCCAGAATGGGTCAGGGGGGGCACGCACATGCACACTCCAAACTCAGAAGAATGGCTTGACGTACAGGTCCATGATTGTGCCTGCATGCAGTATATGTTTACTGTGAGCAGTCAGCAGGTGGTTAAAGGTCTTCTACTGCATTAAAAACATCAGCTAAGGAACATGAAAAAAAAAAATCTATGTTCAGCTAGTATGGAGCAGCTCCAGAGCATTTTAGTTCAAACATCTTCAGGACTTACTAGTGCAAAGCATTTCTGTGCTTGAGCCAGAGCAGAATCTGGCCGCAATCTAATACATTCATCAAAATCTGCTACGGCTTCCTCCACTTGGTCAAGAAGGATTTTTAGCTGTAAATGAAGAAAGACAGTTGAGTATTTCTTAAGCAGTGACACTGAAGCAGAACTCCAAGCAAAAAGGTAAATGTACAGTTGAAATTGACTAAAGAGAATTTTGAATCCACCCCAGTCTATTGAACCAGGCATCTCCCACCAGACAGCACTGCGATTGGTCAATGCAGTAAACCTGTGCTACCCTGTTTAGTTAGCATGCTTACTGTGCTAGACTAAACGGCAATATACAAAGCAACAGTGCTCTCATTAGCTCTCTTTCCTATTGCTGCTTTACAGAGTATTAAAGGAGACAGATTTGGGTATGTAAGCTTGCTGTGTTTAATTATTATTGCATTGTTATTTTAATATGGCTTTGATATTTTTACAAACTTACTTTTTCACCCTTCACCCAAACCAGTTATCGCATACAAAGCATGCTTTGTATCTCACCTGCCCTCTATGATGATAAACATCAGCATTTTGGGGATCGATGTCAGCAGCCATGTTAAAGTCTTGAGTTGACAGGAGAGGTTGTTGTTGCTGCATGTACATGCTCCCTCGCTTGATCAGGGCATTTGCTCTTAACTACAAAAAACAAAACGAAATAAATTAGAAAGAATGTTGCAGATGCACAAGGTGCTAACCTTCAGTGTCAGACCAAAATTCACAAAATTTACTCTGGACAGTGCTACATACAAACAGGCTTCAATTTTCAGCAATGTAAATTGTCAAACAGCCAATTATTGATATTTAAAAGGAATATGTTAGGTCAACTTACATTTTTCAGTAGGTACCCAAACTACCCACACCTACTTTTTACTATACAAGTGAGAAGCTCCTTTTCTGGTATATGCATGCTCTTTGTAAAGACTTCTCTGCTAAAAACACAAATTTTAAGCAAACATTTGCTGCACACAACGTTTTCTTTAGTTCCTGCCTTCCTAGCAGCACATACTAACTTTTCTTCATTCCTCAGTCACTCCTGTTCAGCTAATGGAAGCAACGACATACCTGTTATTTCCAAATACAAGGGGACATGCACCTCACTTCTCTTACTCTCATATGGACCTTGGTGACTGGCTGAGCACCATCACATGAGGATGAGAGAGGCCTCTTGTAAGCTATACCTTTGAGCACAGATACACTTCTACAGCTTAACTCTGTCCAAAACCTTTTTTCCTCTGTCTCAGATTAGGCCAGGAAAGGGGTAGAACCTTTGTCAGATTTTGCCTGCTATATGTGATTCTAATAGGAAGATTCTACCCCAATTCCTCTCCCTGTGACAGTATGTGACACAGAGGCACTGGGACAGAGGCGGGAGGGGGTCTTGTTTTTAAAATACGGATAGAAACAATAACAATTCCATAGGTAATGTAACACTTCCTCGCTCCAAAACTAAAAGCAGGAAAAAAAAGCACGTAATTCATTCATATGTAAAATATAATGCATATTCTTGGGAACATTGCACAATAGTCCAGCTTCCATCACAGCCTACCTTCACATTGGCTTCTTCCATGCTAATGACCTGATCCAGGTCGGGTTTAGCAGCTGCAGAGTTTCCAATGAGCAGGTAGAAAGTGGCCCTCAGTAGTAAAGCTTCTGCCATGTACTTTCCTTTAGCCTCCACTTCCTTTGTGCACTCACTTATGATCTTGTCATAATTCTCCTCTTCCATGTATTGTTTTGCCTTTAAATAACCAGATCTGCAAAAAAGAAACACTAACTTTAAAATGATTTTTATGAATGTCAACATAAGATGTGCATGGAAACAAAAGCGGGGCACTGCAAATGGTCATAACACTGGTAAAAATCCTCCCCCAACCTTCTCCAAAGTACAAGAAAAAAAAAAAAACTAAAAGCAAACTCACTTCTCCTTTACCACAGCCTGCTCTCCCTCCTTATCCTTGTCTTCATCTGACTTTTCTCCTTTGTGCAGTGGTTGGGAGATAATGTCATCTGTGAAAGAGCTGAAGTAGGATTTGATGAACTGAGGTGAAGGCATTAGTGGCTCCCTGTTCTAGAATAAAAACATGGTTTGTTTAGCATCTTGTATACAACGCCAAAATATTTCAACTTAACTCCAGCTATTGTTTTTTTTTTTCTATCATCCCCCCCCCACACACACACACCTGGTGAATTAAAGATAAAGTTCTCCCAGCCCTCTGCATGCCCCAGACTTCCTTCTTGGTTTATCTCTAGCAGTCCTCTTCGGGCAGAACAACACTGGTGTCATTCTGCCAATTTCTTGTGAGCCAAGCCAATAGTTTACCTTCCCCCAGGATGCATGTCATCATTCAAACTGAGCTCACAGTACTCCAGGACTAAGCGGTGCTCACGTGTCTTTACACGAGTGCTGCTCAGGCTTCCGAGCACAAGAACAGGGAGTTGTGGTGACATCACTGGGCTAGCAGGAATGTGTAAAAAAAAAAAAGCATGGTTTGAGGGGCTTTGTGGGTTAGGGGGTGTTAAGATGGATAAAAGTTGGAGCTCTGCTTTAAAGCTGAGCTCTAGGAAACTATCAAAACAAAAGAAATAAAAATATACGAACTGCCTTACATGTCAAAGGATTTGTTTGTTTGTCTAAAAAGTCCTGAGATTTATTCAACAGTAAACACAGCTCAGTCACATCCTTGCCCCCAGTCTTACGTTGACTATACAGATCGAAATTTGGCTGGTTCATCAGGGATCGGCTTCATTTTGATCCACGTATTAGCAGGCTGGTTGTACATAAGTCAATCTAATGATTTCCCCACTTGATCAGCATTGCCGGCTGCAGCCTGCAGGGCTGGTAAGTGTATTCTGACAGCAGGGAAGTCTCCCCGTCATCAAAATACAATACCTCAGCAGGGATGATTCACACATCAAGAGTGTGGATGTGGGAATCAAGTCATTTTTTTTCATTCAACTCGCTTGTTGGAAAAAAAAAAAAAAAAAAAAAGGATCTATGGCCTGCTTTAGACTGGACTTTAAAGAGCAGCAGTAGAAGATTGATCAGGTCATCTGTATGCACTGTCCTCCTGTCAGAACATCTGATGGCCTTAAGTACTACCCCTCTCCCTTTTCCAGACAGCAGCTGTACAAGATTCTAAAATCAAATCCAGGTATTTGTACAAGCTACATTAAAAACACACAGCTCAGTTTACATTCCCGCACACTGCCTGTGTGCTGGGATGACTGCACTCCTGCACATGTGCTGAACTGACATCATCTTGCGCCAGCCCATGAATATGGCGGGAGACGCTGGGGAGATGATGTTATGTTTTAGATATAGTAGGAAAGGGTTATAATCCTTATCAGGTTTTTGCCTTTGTCCCACTGAGAAGATTCCCCTTCATTTCCTGCACTGAAGACGCAACCAGAAATAAGAAAAAGATCTGTCTAAAGTGAAGAGAATTCCCCTTTTAGAAAGCGGTCATTGGAAAATGCTTCCCAATTGGCAGATCTTTCTTCGCCTCTTGCTCTGGTGACAAATCTAAAACACTGAATTCCCTATCGCTTTCTGTCTCAGCGACAATAGTAACAATGACAAATAGAGGGAAGGGTGAATCTCCACAGTGGGAACACAGTCAGAAATTAAAGCCTGACAGGGAACCTAAGCCTCCCTTCCCAACCCCATAAGAAAAAAAAAAGCAAAAAAAAAAAAGCAAAAAAAAAAAAAAAAAAAAAAAAAAAAAAAAAAAAAAGCTTTATCTATACTTTAAGGCGATTTTCAGGTGAGGATAGGAACCAACATTCTTCTAGACAGTGTCGGAAACACAAAATGTAAATTGAATCATCTGTAAGTAAACAGTGTAAAATACATCATTTACAAAATATAGAAAGAGATTTTTTTTTCTATCAACCTTCTAGTGGGAGCAGTAGCTTGCACAGATGCTCATCAATACCTTGTATTTATCTTTGGCTTTCTCTTTTCCAAGCAGCTTTAGTACTTTATCTGCAAGCAGCATGCTGGCCTGGTTCTGGAAGCCCTCCAAGATACAAACTGCCGTAACATCTACATCAAAATATGCATAAAAATACTGAGTTTACAAGCAGATAAAAGTTCTGTGAGATCAGAATATCAAACAGAAGACAAGGACAAGGCAAACATGATAACAGAAACCCTCAGATATGAAGTACTAGCAACCAATATCTCTTCAACTGCAAAACCATATTTCTTAAAGCCTAACTCCAGGTTTTAGTAAAAGCTGAATTGTTTGATTGGACCAAGCTGATCCAAATGAACTATTTACTTCTGCAACAGATGCAGCTTCTAAGTGTACTGTATAAACTATATGTAGCCTCAGCCACTTACAGTATACAGCACTATGTTCTGTCAGCAGGACAGGAACTTCCCATCATGCTCCTGGAAAACAAAACTGAATCAGGCTGAGCACTGCTCTTCAATTCACAGTGAGCTTTGTATTCTAAAATGAATACAAACCTTCCTCTGATTGGCTGAGAGGTCCTATGCAGTGATCTGATAGTTACAAAAGCGCTGGACCCTTTGAGGGAGTACCCTGGTATGCTGGTGACATATCCTTTGCTCTGAGTCATTCTGGTCTCCAGCCAGTGGTCACTTTAGCACCCATTTACTCTACCACTTACAGGAACGTGTACGTGAGGAATATTGTTTGGAACAAAAACAGAGTTGAGCTCTAGAATTAGTACAAAGCTTCATTTGATAGGCTAAGGCGAGATATGGGCATATGATGTCACAGTCTCCGCCTCAGGCAATCAGAAAAAAAAAAGCTTTATATTATTTCATAGAATACAAAGCTCCCTGTGAATGGAACGATCAAGCAGCACTCAGCTCGACCGATTTTGTTCTGGGAGCAGGACAGGAAGTTCCCATCCCACTGTTGGAACACAGTGTTGTATAATGCATGAAGCACACGCAACCGCTTCATCTGTGAGTATATAAAACCTGGAGTTAGGCTTTAACACTTTTGTGTTTTCCTGTTTTTCATTTACAGCTTTTGGCTCCATTCACAGCAGTGTTTTTTAAGCTCCAAGAAGCATTTATCAGCATATTTTTTTCTGCTCCTAGAAGCTAAATCGTGTTATCCTATGTGATCATGCACACTATTTTAGGCCAGTAGCGTTTTTCAAGCTTCAACATTTAGGAGCAGAAAAAAAAATTGTTTTTGGGATCGTTTTACCAGCAGAAAAAAAATGCCGAACGCTCCTAGATACTTCTAAAAGCTTTTTTCTAGCTTTATTTTCTATATGTACTGTTAAAAAAAACTAAGAAACCGCTAATGCTGCTAAATGCTACTACGAGACGCCACAAAAACTCTATTAACAGTGCTTTTCATCCAGTTTTTTTTCCTAGCATTTTTTGAGCTTATAAAAAAAATGCTAGCGTGCATGGAGGCTTCAGAGTTTGTTAGATACCCCAAACCACATATTAGGACATAAGGATAGGACCAGTAGAATAAAAAGAAGGTACGACTGATTTTTTGTTTTTGTTAGGTCCTGTGATATTTGCACAAAATGTTTATCAACACAATATTTTTGCTAAAAATACAAAAAAATCATTAGACAGCAAAACTTAAAAAATCCTACTTAAATCCCTAGTAAATATAAAAGCTGAAATTTTACATTTTTCAGTACAGCTTTCAGAGTTTGTAAAAGACCCCCCAAACCATACATTTTCTGAAAGCACATGTACCTGTAGAATAAAAAAAAATGTGCTATTGATTTTTTACGCTCCAAATAGTTGCGCAAATGTTTATGAAATCACTATTTTCAGTACAAATACACTAAAATCATTATTAGCATACCTAAACACAACATAACTTACAAAATTCCTGCTGAATTCCTATTAGGGTCTCGTTTACATGGGGCGTGATAAAATGTATGCCTGTGGAGGGCTGCCTTTACCTGCATGACGATGCAAAGGTGTTCCGTCCATCCCTGTGCATGCAGGCCCACTCATGTCAATTAGGACACAATGGCTGCACAGACAAAGCAGCTGCGCCCAATCTGACATCCATCTGATTGTTCTAGTTCTAAAACCTAAAACAATTCCCTATAATAAAATTTCTTCCTACTATTCTATTCTCAGCCATATACTATACCTTTTAAAATCTGAGTGATAACGCACAATCCCTAGAGTAGTTCTTTTTTCTTTCATTTTTTTCTTGGGATGTAACTCCTAGTCGCAATAAATCAATCATACCACTCATAGCTATCAAAGCAGCTACCAAAGAAAGATACAAGTCAGACACTGGACACCACAAATCAGTGTGTACCTTCAAGGCATTCTTTCTTGCTATCAAGCTTTTCATGTGCTTTGGCCCGTCGGAAGAGAGCCTTCACATACTTGGGATTCAGTTCCACTGCTTTCGTACAGTCTTGGACCACTTCTTTCCACGTTTGCTAGAAAAAGTAATTCATAAACAGCACCGCCTAAACAACCAGCATTTCTTGATAAAACAATAACATTTATTGAATTTCAAAGCGAGGATATTAATAAAATGTGGCCACACTGAAAACTGGACAGATTTAAAAAAAAAATACAAAAGTACTACCAACAGTCTAATGTCTTAAAGTGTATAATTCCCCAAAATATAATAATTTGTGTGTGCTTTAATTATATTAAAAAGTACCCTGTTCTCTTAGTATTGCTTGGCTGTGAAATACCTGGTGATTTAGCCACTCCCCCTGCTCTCTTATTTCAAACTGACCACACCAGGCACAGAAGTGCATCCATCCTAGCGTGATAAATATGCTTCCGTGTCTTCTACTCGGGAGCTACAGGACGCCATGCATACGCTTGGAGTGCCTGTACTTCCTGTGATCAGACTTCTGCTGTCACACCCTTACCCTCTCATCACAAATAGGAACCAAGGTACAGAAATCTCTGAAGTAACTGCCATTCACACAGTCATGGTGTGCCTGTGGGTATACTGGACTGCTATCGCTACCCTGCCAAATCCCCCCCCCCCCCCACACTGTTTGAGAGACAGTTTCTGGGATATGCGACGTTGGCAGAACAGATGATCGTGATTAGGTTGCCCCACCCCTCTAAGCCTGGGATACAGCAGGGTATGTTGGCCATGTGACTGTTTAAGCAATGAAGAAAGGCGTTTACAATGCTTTTGTATTCATAAACATGTTTTATCTGTATTATTTTTTTAAACATGTGACATGATTCCGTGTTTCAAGGATATGTTCACCTTTGGGAACATGTTCCACCCGTGTTTAGAGTGGAACATGTAACATGTTCCTAATGCTGCAGCGGCTGCCCGCCCCTCCCTGTGACAGAAGTATGGGGTGAAGTTCCCCGTACTATCTGCCACTTTGTAAAAGCAGCGTGGCTGTGTGGGGCTCCACCTACACAGCCGAGTCATTCATTCACAGTGTTGTGAATGAATGACTGAACTACAAGTCCCGAGAGCCTTGGCGGCTGTTGGCTTGCAGTTCTCAATGAGCTACCAAGCCGTCGTGGAGTGCCGTGGTAGTTCATTGAATCTTCTTGTCAGTATACCTGCTTCCCCGTACAGGCAAGCAGATATACTGACAGGTCTGCAGGAGTCCTGCATGACACCAGCGATCTTATGATTTACCTACCTACAAAAAAAAGTGCATTTATTATTTTTGGCCAAAAGGTGAACTTATCCTTTAAGGGTTCACATCCACTTACAAAACCCAAACTTTTGTAGCAAACTAAATGTGTGACAATGCCACAAGTATTATATTCCAATATAAAGAGCATGGCCACACATACAGCATGGGGGTTAGAAAGCCCAACACCCTAGACATGTAATATTAGCCGTTAGCAGATACAGATCTCTGTATCAAAAATCTCAGCAGAATCCAGAGCCAGTAAACTTGCACTATGCATTGCAAGGTTAATCAAATATGGCAGATCCTTAGAGCAAAGATGCAGTGCAAACAAGCAAGACTGAAATAGAGTATTATGACTGTATTAATATTTAATGTGATGGTACTATGAGGTACTCTATAGTATAGTCTTAGATCTAAAGAAACAAACAATGTCCCAGCCTGAATAATTTGTGTTTACTCACAAGCTGCTCATATGCTGCCGCTCGGTTCTGGTAGAAGGTAGACAAGTCCACTTTCTTCTCCGGTGGACAAAGACTGATGGCTTCAGTGTAACACTGGATGGCTTGATCGTATTTGCCAGCTTTAAAATATTTGTTACCCTTGTTCTTTGCTGCTTGTGCTTTTTCAAGAGGGCTCTAGAAACACAAAAGAAAATGCAAGTAATGCTTGATCTAATAAAGTCCGTTAGCCTATAGGACACTAAAGAGGACAATTTGCTTGGCAGGGAGTACTTATTATTATTATTATTATACAGTATTTATAAAGCGCCAATAGTTCGCTCAGCGCTGTACATTATAAAGGGGGACAGAACATGTGACAGAACAATACCAATACAATGCAAAACATGAGGGGATCGAGGGCCCTGCTCTTTCAAGCTTACAATCTAGGAGATAGAAGACAATGGCTGAAATAGAGATGCCTAATTGACTTTATATAATTTGGATGGATTGTTTAAGCAGGCTGTTAAACTACAAAGTTGAATTTAAACCTAAATGCAACTGTAGTGTGTGGTCACAAGAATGATATGAAATGTGAGCAGTTTAAATCTGACTGGAAATGTGGATAATGAGAATTCTTACAAAATTCAGTTTGCAGCTGAATTTAAATAGCTTGTACATCGAGAGACTAAAGTGGTTCTAAAGGCTGAAGGTTTTTTACCTTCATGCCTTCTACGCATGAAGGTAAAATAAAGTTTCAATATTCAGCCCCCCCCCTAATACCTACCTGTGGCCCATCTCAGTCCAGCAATGTGCAAGAGGGTGTCTCCCTCCTCACTGGCTGAGACACAGCAGTGGGGGCCATTAGTTCCTGCTGCTGTCAGTCACAGCCAGTGAGAAGCGAGCAGGCTGAGCTGTGCTCTGTGTGTCCTATGGGGACTCTGGGGGCATGCAGCAGGGGGAAAGAGCCAGGAGCGCCAGTAGGGGACCCGAAAAAAGGAGGATCGGGGCTGCTCTGTGCAAAACCACTGCACAGATAAGGGGTAAGTATGACATCTTTAATAGAAGTGTCCAACCCGTGGCCTTCCGAGCCCTCCAATGTGGCCCACGGTGGAGGAAGCAGGAACTGCATAAGCTGATGCTTCCTCTGTAGCGCTGGTTCTTGTCCCAGGCAGAGTGATACCATATGCACTTCTCCTGGGACCTTTCAAGCAGCCTGGAATGCAATGCCAGTGGAAGCTGGAAGAGGAAAATAAGGTCAGTGTACTAAACACATACACCGCACAATGGGCATATTAGCACCTATAAAAGGGTTAACAACTATTTGGCTGCTTTCACACTGATCTTCAGGAGCAAAACCGTGCACCTGTGGCTTTCCTGCGGGTAAGCTGCACTGAGCCACAGACTTATATCCTGTGGGTTTGAAATTGAAAATCTGAGCCATTTTATTTCACTGTGACCTGCGACTGATTACCAAATCACTTAAGTGGCCCTCGCTCCTCAAAAGGTGGAGCACCCCTGCACTAGACAGTGGAATCTGAAATGCCAGAACAGGCAAGTATACACCTTTACAGCACCATAAAAAAATCCATAAATCATTCAAATGTGGCTGGCCAAAGACAATAGAGGGTTACACCCTCTGCCACTGGTCCATGTTAAATCAACCATGGAAGGTGGCAATGAGGGACTATTCATGTCTTGGCCTGAGGATAGAGAGGTGAAAGCTGCACAATGTAGACATCTTCAGTGGCAGAAGATAAAAAATTAAAATGCCTGGATAAGGTTTTGTAACCCATCCAATCACTACTGTACCAGATGATCCTCAACTGTTGATACCTGCAGGTGGCCCAGAGCCATCGGACTGTCATCCTAAAAGGACAAATGGGGGAACTGCAATATCAACACACGGCAAGATAAACAATTATTTCCTGTAAAAGTGATGCATTTCTTTAAAAGAATTACATATTCATTATAGATTTATGTGATGACAGTGTAAAAGGACCCTTTATACTCAACCTATTGCCAATGTTAGAGTAAAAACAATTTAATATATTTTCCCTATACAGTGGAGAACTAGGCTGGGTTGTACCCATGTCCCCACTTTTATTTGCTTTGACCACTGAAACCCTTGCAAAGCAGGACACAAGTGAGTTCATTTCTGACAAATACAAAGTTTTATGATTTTTTTTTTGGATGAAAGTCACTTCCAGTCAGTACAGAAGTCCACACATTCTTCCCAATACAGTCATCGTCTGTCAGTGAATGTATTGCAGGTAAACCCAAGCATTCACAGGCTGAGCCTCAGCAATGCAGTTTAACTACCTGCACACATATCAGAAAAACATGAATTGCTGTTGTAATGTGAAGACAGGAGCGGTAAACATTACCTGATGATAGACAGATACCACAGCTTTCATTCACAATAGTTTGTGTGTGTGTGGGTGTGTGTGTAAAATGAAAATTCACATCAATTGAAATGGACAGTTTTTAAAAAATGTATATATTTTTTCAAATGCAATTTTTTTTGGATAAAAATACACTTTAATGAATACTGAAAAACAATATGTAACCTAATTTTTTATTTTTTTTAAATATGAAAGATGTTACACCGAGTAACTAGATACCAAACATGTCATGATTTTAATTGTGCACGCTCGTGGAATGGCGCCAAACTACAGCAATTAGGAATCTCCATGGGAGAAATTTTAACAATTTCTACAAATTACCCGTTTAAAGTTACAGAGGACTAGTACTTTGACATTTGCGGAGATACTTCACGTGTGGTTTGAACACTGTTTACATATGTGGGCGTGGCCTACATATACTTTCACCACTGTGCTTAAGCTATCTCCTCTCCACTTTTAACAAGAACAACGCATTAACCCTGCTTTCACTGGGTAAATGCTCCCATCTCCTCTCCACTCTTAATAAGAACAACGCATTAACTCCTGTTAATTTCAGGACAAATAGTGTATATATATTTTTGTATATGTTGACTAGTTCTCACCTCTAGTTGCACTCGTTTTATGACTGTATGCTGTGTCTGGTCTGTTTGAGAAACATCCCCCCTATTCATGAGATCTTTATCAGTTACTAATTGGTGCGGAGAAGAGTGCTCATTTGACCATCTCCCTATAAATTTAGATCAGCTCATGGGGGGATCACTGATGGGGGCAGAGACACAGATGGGGTGCTACTTTTGCGTGAGTGCTGCGTTGATGGAGTGCTAAGAAGCAGTTAAACACAGCAGTTTAACTAAAGTAGGATAACTCAAGCAGCAGGAAGATACAACAAGAAACTCTACTGCATGCTGGACGGACTGCAAGCAAAAACCCTGGGAAACATCTCTTACAAGTCTGTGTCCCACTCCGTGTACCTTTTAATATGTCCCCTTCACTGCTCCTTTTCATATTACTATCCTGCGTTCCAAAAATCTCACTTCTTTATCCCTCTGTTCCACCCCAAAACCTGTACATCTTACCCTCACTGCTACCATCTCCCTACTACTGCTCCCATCACCTCCTGCTGACACTTCACTCTACTGCTGACCCAAACACCAGGACTGGAATGCATGCGCGCTCGTGTACATCCCGCTCTCATGTTACTCTCCTCACCCTTCTTCTTCTCCTAACCTCTGGGGATGTCTCTCCAAACCCTGGTCTTCCAGTATCTCACCCCCACACCAGGCATCCTCTTTCTTCCGAGAATAGCCGCAATCCCCACAATTTAACATCAGTCCCCGTGCTCCCAAAAACAACCCTCCCTTTTTCATGTGCGCTCTGGAATGCCCACTCTGTCCGTAATAAGCTGACCCACTGTCCATGACCTTTTTGTCTCCTGCTCCCTTAACCTACTAGCAATTACAGAAACCTGGCTCCAAGCAGTAGATTCTGCTTCCCCTGCAGCATTTTCCTATGGAGGCCTCATCTGGACGCACTCACCCAGGCCAAGTGGTCGGAAAGGTGGTGGAGTTGGTTTGCTTCTATCCCCACTCAGCACCTTTCAAGTCCTCCCTAACCCTCCCTCTCTATCCTTCTCTTCTTTCGAGACTCGCTGCATCTGGCTGTTTTCTCCCATTTCTCTAAGGATTGCAGTGATCTATCGGCCTCCTGGACCCGTGTACCGCTTTCTTGATGATTTCTCCACCTGGCTACCCTACTTTCTCTCCTCTGAACTACCCACTATCATTCTCAGAGATTTTAACATCCCTATTAATGTGAACAACCCAGCTACATCCCAACTCTTCAACCTAACCTCATCTTTTGCATTAATACAATGTATTCAGTCCTCCACTCACTATGATGGGAATACATTAGACCTTGTTTTCTCCCATCTTTGCACTCCCTACAACCTCACAAACACCCCCTTTCCTCTCTCTGATCACAATCTCATCACCTTTACAGTGTCCTCGTCTTCAAACACCTATCCCTCCAAGCAGCAAACAATTACCCACAGAAAGCTTCACAACTTGAACCCTGCTCCTTTCCACTCTGCAACTGACCAACTCTATGACAGAATCTCTCCCCAGTACTGCCCTGACCTGGCCACTGCTGTCTACAACAGTTCGCTTTCATCCGCATTAGACTCACTTGCTCCTCTAACAACACGAAGCATCAGGCCCCGACCGTTACAACCTTGGCAGACTGACGACACCAGAAATCTTAAATGACAGTCATGCACTGGAGTGATTGTGGCGTAAAACCAAATCTCAACAAGCATTCACCCTATATAAATCTGCTTTCTTAACATACAATTGCTCCCTTCATGCTGCTAAACAAGTCTACTTTGTCACTCTTATTAATACCTTGTCATCCAGTCCTCGTCGTCTCTTCTCTACTTTTAACTCTCTACTTTCTCCACCTCCACCCAGTACATCACTCACTGCTCACGAGATTGCAAATCATTTAAAAAACAAGATTGACGCAATTTATAAGGGCATCGCCACTGCACAGACATCCATACCACTTAGCATACCCTATACTAAACCCCCCTCAACACCTTCCTTTTTTGACCTTGCTACTACCGAAGAGGTCACTAAGGTTTTCTCAGAAGCCCGTCTCACTACCTGCCAACTGGATCCTGTCCCCTCACAACTACTACGGTCACCCTCTTCTTCCATCCTATGCTCCCTCACTCACATCCTCAATCTCTCCCTCTCTACTGGCGCCTTCCCCTCCCCTCTAAAGCATGTGCACATT